CCCCCTCGCAACCAGTTGGCCCCGGCGTGGCTGCGGGTCACAGTCATGCCAGCGCCGGCGGCTGCCCCCCGCCTTCCTCCCCATTCCATGCGGACCACCGCCGGGAACTGGAAGCGCTGCGGTCGGAGCTGGAAGCCGAGCGTTTAAGGTCGCAAGAAGCCCGGCGCCGATTTGCCTTGGAGGCTCGCGAGCTCCGCCAAGCGGCCGAACGGGACCGCCAGCTGCTGGCCGACCAGCTCCGCTCCAAATGGGAGCAACAGCGAGCCCGCGAGCTCCGCCAGCTGCGGGAGGCCAGCCTCAGGCAGCGCGAAGTCGAGATCCGGCAACTGCTGCGTTGGAAGGAGGCAGAACTGCGCGAAGCCCAGGAGCTCCTGCAGCGGGAGCGCGACGCCGCCATGCGGCAGGCCAGGGACCTGCAACGCCAGCTGGCAGAGGAGCTGGTGGGCCGGGGCAGTAAAGGCACAGGGGTGTGTGTCGCGGCTGGCGGCGGATCGGGGGCAGCGGTGAGCACCGAGAGTCGGGCCAAACTCCAAGAAGTCCTGGGCAAGCTGCGCTGGGAGGTGGATGGCGAGCAAGCAGCGCGTATTCGGCACCTGAAAGCCGAGCTGGAACTGGAGCGGAGCCTCTTTCTAAAGTACATCCTAGAGCGCTTTGAAGGGGAACACGCTCTGCAGAGATACAGACCGGCCTCCTTCCAGCAACAGCTGCCACAACCACCGGCCAAACTGGAAAAGACCAGACCTCGCTCCTTAGAGAGTCTGGTCCCTGCCCGTGACTCCCCTCCAGCCGAACCAGCCTCGAAATCTCGCTCCCTGTACAACAACCTAAGTCTTCCCCGGTCTTCCCACCACCATCATCGGTATGACTTTCTGGATGGACAGATCCCAAAGGACAGCAGCCATTGCCTACTGCAGCCACAGAAGATGCTTGGTGATGCTTTCCAAAGAGATACGTTGGAGCCAGTCCCCAAGACAGATGAGACCGTGGATATCCCTCTGGAGGGAAAAGGGAGCAGCTGGGGGCCTGTAGAAGGAGCCCCCATAGCAGCTGGACAGCAGCCAGAGTCACAAGGCTGGCTGGCGGCCGGTAGTTTTGATCAGCTAGTGAAGCAGAATGAGGCACTGTTGAAAGTGTTGGCAGAACTAGAGCAACAATGCACCCTGCTCCGGGAAGAAAATACTCTGTTGAGGAAAAGTAATTTCCCAAAGATGGAAGAGAAAGTGAAGAAGCTGAAGAAGAAGAACACAGAGCTGATTGGGATTGCCAGGCGACTGGAGGAAAGAGCAAAAACACTCCAGGAATCCAGCCTCAAGGTGGGCAACACACCTGTAACACTGAGCCTGAGTTGCCAAGACATGGACCTCTATAAGACCTCATTGGCTTGGCAGCAGGCAGAAGAACTGAGTGCACAGGCTGGGGAGGCCCTGGGCAAAGGTCAGCATTTACCTTCACAGAGGGAACGTTGGGAGCTTCAGACCAAACGGGCCACAGGTATGAAGAGCCCTTGTTTGTTTAAGATAATTGATTTTGATTGCTTGCTTCGAGAGTCTCAGAGGGAAGTGTTACGATTACAAAGACAGCTCATGCTTAAGAACCAGAAGAAATCTCCTCAGCACTCTAAAATTAGTTCAAATGATGCTGCTTCATCAGTTATGATAAAAAACACATCATCAAATCTAGTTTCATGTTTAGAGGACTCATCCTTGCCAAAGAAGACAGCAAAAGCCTTGAACACATCAGTGGAAGATGTAGAATCCAAAGCATTCTCAGCAAAAAATGGTTCCAAGAACAATGAAAACAGCACTTTTGAAACAGATTCAGATACGGAACATCAATTGCAGATTTTGAAAGAGAAGCTTTCTGAAAAAGTTAGAGACTATGAAACCCTTAAACATGAAGTGGAGAAAAACCGGAAGAAATATCATGATTTGGAATTGCAACTTAATGAAACTCTGACTGAAAAAATCAGGATTGCTGAGCAGAACTTTCAACTCCATAAGAAAAATGAATGCAGAGAAATGACTGAAAATGAAAATGAAGAGATAAAGGTGAAACTAACAATTGATGATCACAATTCTGTAATTCAGTTGGCTAGGGAACTTGAAATCAAAGTGGAAAATTTAGAACAAGTAATTAGGGACATGAAAGAGACAGTGGGGAAACAACAGCAGTTAGAATCTGAACATAAGGAAACATTGTTAGTGCTGCAAAAAAGAGAAGAAGAAATAAAACAAATGCAGCAAATACAGACAGAAATTAAAAGAGATTATAAAAAAGCAGTACAGCTACTTGAAGCTCAAGTGAAAAAGTCAGAAAACAATTGCCAGAGTCAGACTGAACAGTTTGACTTTCTAGAATCTGTGCAACTACAAATCAAAAAAACTGAACTCATAGAATCAAAATTACCATATACAATCTGCAGCTCCACAGCTGTATTATCTCCAGAAAAATGGGAGGAAAATAACTGTCATATTCTTCACTGTAGTGAGAACATAAATTTTAAAGATGCAGCATCAATAAATTCTTCAGGACTGTTTGGAAAAGCAAAGGAGTTAGAATCTCACTCAAATTCATCTGAAAAGGAATCCGTCCAGAACAGCTCTAAATCTTGTTCTAATCCAGAAAAAGATACAGCAGGTGAACTAGGAGAAATGGAGACAGATAACGTTTCTATAAACCTTATGCTAAAAAACCAGTGTTCTTCAAAACTTCGTGTCTTTTTAGCACGACACAGCTATGATCCTTTTGATGGCCCAAATAAAAATCCTAAAGCAGAGCTTCCGCTAACAGCTGGGGAATATGTTTATGTCTATGGGGAAATGGATGAAGATGGCTTCTATGAAGGAGAGTTGATGGATGGTAGGAGAGGAATGGTGCCTTCAAATTTGATAGAAGAGGTTTCAGATAATGATCTAATAAGTTTTGTTCCTACAGAGCCAAGTGAAATTTCATCACATTCATATAACGAAATGGGGTTTCCTTGCCACAGCACTAGCAGTGAAGAAAACAGTGACGGTGCTGAAGCGTTGTGTGCCGATGTGCTGACTAGCGGACTGCGAAGAGAACTGTATGGTGATCAGACAGCTGTGCCCTGTCCTCAGAATCTGACTCTCATCAAACAGTTTGCTAGATCTATCCTCATAGGCTGGGATCCACCACATATTCAAGATAACTGGGAGAAAGTGCACAGCTATAATATTTATGTTAACACAGATTTATATAATAATGTGAAACCCAGTAGTCATATGAAAGCGCTGATTGAGAACCTGGATTTAGAGTCATATACTTACCAGATCTCAGTGCAGAGCCTAACAGATAAAGGAAACTCTGATAAGATGCAATGCACTTTTCTTGTAGGAAAGAGTTTTTCTGCTGCCCCAGAATTCTTGAGGCTAAGGAGCCTGACAGCAACATCAGCAGAAATCACTTGGTTGCCAAGCAACAGTAACTATACTCATACAGTATATCTTAATGGGGAGAAATACGATGAAACCAATACAGGCACCTATTGGTATACTTTCCAAAACCTCAAACCCAACAGCCAATACAATGTAGAAGTGGAAGCTCACCCCCCTAATGATGTGCCATTTCAGGGTAATTTGAAGAAGAAATCAACAGCCATTACATTTACTACCCCATCAGCAGGACCACCTAATCCTCCCCTTGATGTCCAGGTTCAACCTAGTTCTGTGGGATATCTAGCTATTCACTGGCTGCCAGCGACAATTGACTCTGCAGGATCATCCAATGGGGTAAAAGTCACAGGGTATTCTGTTTATGTTAATGGACAGAAAGTAACAGAAATTATGTCTCCAACAGCTGGCAGTGTCTCATTATCAGTTTCTCATTTATTGATTTTCCAAGAATCCTGGAAGGTTTCTGTTAGAACAATGTCAGCCTTTGGTGAATCGGAGGATTCTGTGCCAGCTTTAATTCCACCTCATCTCGTGAGCATTTCTGGTTCTTTACTGGCAAAGTCTGTTGCCTGCACCATGGCTCCCGATTTGACTTTCAAAGAATCTTTAGAGTGTAAAGCTATAACAATGAATACATCTTCATCTATTTGCACCCATGTCTTCCATGGTGATACCATTCACTTCACTTCTGAGTGCAAAGAGTCTACTGATCTTCCAGCTGTGACCGCGTCCTGGAATCATATGTTCCCTTCTGTAATGGCTTCTCACAATGCAAGAAATGAAAATGGGGGTGATTCTCGTCTACATTTATCTGCCTGGAAGAAATCATCAGAACATGCTTTTCCAGAGGCAACCTGTGGAGGATCAGCCAGTTCCATTCAAGTAGCATCAAAATCCAGTTGCATAAAAAAAGTAGCAAAAACATTTGCTAAAGACATGCAAAGAGAAGAATGTTTTCTATCTAAAAATATTGCATGTAAAAACCAATCAAATAACAGCAAGATTAAAGTGAATACAGTGAGCCAGTATACTAATATGATTGTAGAAGACAACTCTTTGCAATACCATGTTGAGGATTTGGATGCAAACCACTTGAGTCATGAGCCCAACATTTCTTCACCAGAGTATCTGTTGAATAAGAGCAGTTACAGGAATATGACAACCCATAATGCCCATCTCTGGAAAGAATGTGATGGTTTCTTTGGAGATAATCACATAAAGCAGTTATGCAAAAAACTCTCTAATCTGAGTCTGTGTAACAATGAACCAGAAGAAATGCAAGTATCAAGAACTGTAAGGCATGATCCTCTTGGTGCCCACAATCATACTTCTGATCTCTTAGATACGGAGGAAGAGGAGGAGTACATTATGAGCACTTCTGGCAAAGATGATTTTACACCACAGAAGCAGCAGATATCTCTTTCAGAAGAGACAAATGATAAAGTTATATCCATGATGTTGAAATCTCAGCAAGCAACTCCTTCAGTACCTCATTCAGGTTCTCAAATAGGCTTTGATTCTGGAGATAAAGATAGCTCAGAAAGATTATTTGTAGCTCTTTTTGACTATGATCCTGTAACTGTGCCACACAATACCAAACAAGCTCGGGAAGAATTATCTTTTAAAGTGGGGCAAATTCTAAAGGTGACGAGTGACAAAGATGCCCATGGTTTTTATAAGGGTGAATGTGAAGGGAAAAAAGGGTATATCCCATGCAATACTGTATCTGAAATGTACATAGAGAGCAAAGAAGTGAGAGACCACCTATTAAAGAAAAGTTTCATGCAGGACGAAACCTTGTGAACAGGTTAGTGTACTTAGATGCACAATATAACAACCAGTCCACTATTTTGTCAACAATGCAGTAAAACTAAGCACTTATTTAATGTTATGGAATTATCATAATCCAAAAAACAACAACAACTGGAGAAGACATTGCAGAATATGGGTGTGGAAAATTAACTTTCATGAACAACAGGAAATATTATGGTGCACAGATAAGGAGTAATGTGCTGGGATTAGTTAAAAGGTCTGGCTGGTACTTCTTTATGGAAACTGTTACACAGAATAAAAAATATATAGGCATCCTTTTGAACAGTTTTAAACTGGATGAAGATGAATGATAGACATAAACTTTGCAATGTTGCAACCTTCTGCAGTGAACAAAATGGGCCATTAGAAAAATATCCCTCTGTAGAGACATTTGATGTTTGTTTAGTTATATGTGATGAGGTGTGGGTGAAAAATATGCTGATACCATCTATTTTTATAGAATGGGTATCATCAATGGGACATAATGTTCAAGTAAGCAAATGTGGGCCTAATTTATACATATACAGCAGAGCCCTCCGTTTTAAAGATTCAAATAAGTGTGCAGAGCTCTGGTTAGGATCCACAAGTCTGGGCAAGAGAGGTTTAAATACTGCCCACCTGTTTCCCAAAACCCAATGTGGAGCTAAACAAGTGATAACCCTGAAGTATCTTTGGGGAATCATTGATTCTCCAAATGTTCCAGTCTACAACCCATTAATTTGTATTCCTGTATCGAGCAGGAGGTTAGGCCTTATAGGCCCCTTCCAACTTCACACTACAGTGGCGCCCCGCATAACGGGCGCCCCGTTTAACAACGAGTCTGCATAGCAATTAAGTTTTTGCGATCACAAAAGCGATCGCATTGCAATGTTTAAAATGGTAAAACATCGCTTTGCGATGATCGGCAAGCTGTTTCGCTTACCAATTTTCGCATGGCGATGTTTTTAGAACAGCTGATCGGCAGTTCCAAAATGGCCGCTGGGTAAAAAAAATGGCTGCCGGCTGTGTTTTCGCACCCATTCCTCGCTTACCGGGCAGCGAAAATGGCGGCCATATGGAAATTTTGTATAACGGTGAGTTTTTTGCGCATAGGAACGTATTAAATGTGTTTTAATGCATTCCTATGGGCTTTTTTGTTCCGTATAGCGACAAATCCACATAGCGATTATTTTTCCGGAGTGGATTATCGTCGCTATGCGGGGCACCACTGTATTCTGTGATTACCTGTAGCCATGTTGGCTGTGGTTTTTGGGACTTGGGGCATGTTAAACCTCTCCATGCACATTCACATCTATAAATCTCAGTCAAAACCAGAGCTCCACTTTAATTAATGTATGTGCATTTTAATTCTTACAGAGCAATGCTGTGCACTTATCTGAAACACAAAGCAACTCTGTGCACTTATCTAAGGGTGCTGTGGTTCAGCAGGGTATATCTAGCAAATAGATTTCAGTCTCACAATTAATGAAAAGGATAGTGGCACCTTAAGACAAATTGTTTTAGGTATGAGCTTTTGTGGACTGCAAACTACATCAGAGGGTGCAACTATTATAATCTTGGAATTATAGTCCTATATCATGGTCCCAAATACTAACACATAGTAGTGCTACTGATTTATGTGTAACATATGGAAAGCAAATATTCTGTCTCAATATTGGTTTGATTGTAGGCTGTATTCAAACAACTGATACATGGAAGACACAACCTGTATTGGATTTTCCCCCAAAATAACACTATAGCTCTTACGATGTCTATTTTAGTCTGCTGCTAGAAAAAAAAAAGATTCCATGATTACTTGTGGAGTCTGTAGCAGCTCCTGAGTTAAGATGTGACTGAAGTGAAGACTTTTCCTAGAAAAGATCAGAAAAAAATTCTGAACACGTGTCTGTCTTTCTATACACCTCTCTGACTTTTCAGACTTTTCAGTTTTTTTCTAGCTATATGAGAACTATTTCTCACTCTATATACTCTTTTGCCCTGAGGTTTGATTTAAAGGCATACAGTCCAGAAGTATTTTAATAATAATAATAATAATAATAATAATAATAATAATAATAATAATAATAATAATAATAATAATAATAATAATAATAATAATAATAATAGAGACCAGACCCATATGCACACACATTAAAAAATTCCCCAATCACTCCCCACCCTCTAAAAATCCCTCACTAAAAATACAAACATCTGCACTGCAGGCTGTCCAACTATTCACTACTGGTGGTCTTTCAGCTCATTATTAATTGCAATTATAGCTCTAGGATAAAAACTATTTAGAAAACGTGTGGTCCGAGTCTTAATTGTTCTATATCTTCTGCCAGATGGTAACAGTTCAAAAAAGTTATAAGCAGGATGGGAAGAGTCTCTCAGGATGCTGTGTGACTTCCTCGGACAGCGGGATGTGAAGATGTCATCCAGGGTTGGTAGCTGGAGCCCGATGATATTCTGGGCAATTTTAATGGTTCTCTGTAGAGCTTTTTTGTCCGCTACAGAGCTACTCCCAAACCATGCCAGAATGCCATAGGTTAGGACACTCTCAATGGTGCTACGATAGTATGACAGAAGTAAATGCTGAGATAAATTTAACTTGCTGAGCATTCTCAGGAAATACAGCCTCTTCTGTGCCTTCTTCATCAGCATGTTGGCATTTATAGTCCATGAGAGGTCCTCTGAGATGTAAGTACCCAGAAATTTAAAACTACCAACTCTCTCCACTTCCTCACTGTTTATGTACAGTGGTAAATGTACATTTCTCCTCCTTCTAAAATCAATTATGAGTTCTTTAGTTTTTTTGATGTTAAGTGTGAGATGATTTTCTTTACACCAAAGTATCAACCTTTGTACTTCCTTTCTATAAGCAGACTCATTGTTCTTATTTATGAGCCCCACCACTGTTGTATCATCCGCAAATTTAATAATTGCATTGGTGTTAAAATGATAAATTATGAGACATTTGGTTAGGAAATACAGCTCTCGCTACCTAAGGGATACATAAAGATGGTAAAATGACAACATAGTGTTGTATCAAGCAATTTATTTCACAATGTTTGCTCTAGTATCCTGTTTGTTCTGTGGAGTGCCGGTACTTTAACAGTTGGTTTCTAGTTTTCAGAACTGGAATTCCAAAGTGAAGAGAATTGGTCTTAACAAAGCATATGTTTTAACTATATATGTCCATGGAGGTTTATCCTCTTCTTTTCATTAAAATGTTAAAATCCTGTCCGATTTCAGTTTCCTACTAAGTTTATTAGAAGTTGCAAAACAACTGTATCTTATTTCATTTGTTACAGGAGAGAACTACATCCAGATATATGATTTTCTGACATTCCCTATTTTAATTTTTCCCTACAATTTAGATATCTACTGGATTCTGAAAAATAAACTACTGCTGCTTGGATCAAAGCCATACTAAAAGACAGCAATAGAAGCTACAATTTAAATATATTTTGTAATGTTTTTATTAAAACATCTTATTTATTAAACTCTTTCTGAAATGTGCATCTCACACTCGTTTCATCTGGACTGTGATATTGTAGGTTTTTCAGAGTATACTATTTTCACAAGAGGTTTACTATTGCCACTAGGTATGGGCATTCACTGGACTCTAAATCCCAGAATTCTCCATTCTTGGAGTTCCACCTGCCAGCCAGAGAGACATCTACATTGTACTCACCTGGAAGAAGGATGAGCTAAAAGACTTTGTGGGCCAGGATTGGGCCTCATTCGCTGATGGAAAAAGAAGCTGCCCCTGGTAGCTGGTGAAACATGGGCACGACATTGTTGCTACAATTAATTTATAACACTGTTAATTTTTGGCATAACAAATAAGTTTGTATGTTAATTTTTTGTTACTTTGTGGGTTCTAAAATGCTTGCTTTGGACAGTTTTGAGGTCCCCTCCCTTCAAATTTTAAACCACTTTCTTTTCACATGGATTAACAACAAAATGCAAAAGAATGCAATGTTACTAATCTTTAAACCAAGGGTGCGTGTGTGTGTGTGTGTGTGTGTGTGTGCGTGCGTGCATGCGTGCATGCATGCGTGCGTGTGTGTGTGTGTGCACGCAATATTTCAAATTAACTTTCTAAACTCACTGGACATTGGAGAGGTGTTAACAATACTAAACTTCCCAGACCTGGTGCCCTTCAGAAGCTATTACTCTCCCTATTAGGGACCATGTTCCCTCCCTATCAGGTTGTCAACAAAAAGGAAAATGACAAAATAATTTACTAATTTGAAAACTTGCAATGAGCTTTCGTGGATTAAACACCACTTCTTCAGACACAGGAATACAACTACATTTTCTTGAGTTTCTAGACAATAGGTAGAGACAATGGTTCATTAACACAGGAATGAGACTATCAAATTCTTAATTACTTTAGTTAGCAGATCCTGGCCAGTGTAATAACTGTAGGTCACATAGGACGTAGCTGTCAAAGGAATGCTAAGAAATGATTCGGGGACAGAATCTGTGGTCAGAATCTGTATGTCAATGGAGACCACTGTTTTATATTCATAAGGTATTAACAGAAAGTTGGGTTATTGCTATATGTAATGAGTAAAGAAGCCTACTGAGGCCCTTTCAGGTACAGTACACTGAAGATTGCTTATGTAGCCAATTTCTGTGTTTTTTTCCTTTCAAGCTTTCCTTTGTAATTTTTTTTCTACAACCACTTTGAGATTCACAAAAGATTGTCTTAGGAAGCTGAAGTCTTCTGAAACTTAATTTGTCTGTTTTACCATTCCTGATCTGTGTCCATTTTGCACAGAAACTCTTGTTTTTCTTATATAGAAAACAGAGATTCACCACTGCAAGAAGACAGCACAAATAAACTTAGAGAATAAAAAATAGACCTCTGAAGTTGTGGCTGATGTTGCTAGGACTTTCAATGATGCTGCTAGATATGAGGGCACAATTGGCATCTACTGTAGGTCTATGACAGTGGTGGCGAACCTTTTTGGGCTCACGGGGTGGGGGGAACCAGTGGGCAGTGTGCCGCCACCATGGCAGCGGATCCAGAAGTGATGGCAGCGGCGGACCGGAAATGGTGGCGGAAAGGGGAATCCCAGCACAGAGGAGCCTCAAGATCCCTCTCTGGATCCACTGCCAGCACCAAGGTTTGGTACACATGCACTCGATGAAGCCCTTGCAGGGGCGTTGTTCTCCTCCACCTCCTGCGTGCCTCCAGTGCCGTCTCCTTTTCCTCTCCAGTCCCACCTGGGACTTTGTCCCTTTAAGGGAGGGAGGGGGTGTCCTACTTCATTAGAGGGAGGCAAGTGGGGGGAGATGGAAGGCAAGTTATTTTCTCGTGTTCTTTTGTTTCCATCCACCAGTGCTCGCAGGATTCAAGGGAAAGCAAGGTCGCCTTACTCTCCCCCTACACACACATAAACCTTCTCAGGTTTGGCAGCGCGGGGCGGGGGGAGTAGCAATCCGGTGACCTATGGCTTGCATGCTGACAGAAAGGGCTTGGTGTGCCAGCTTTGGCATGCGTGCCATAGGTCCACCATTGCTGATCTATGACAGTCTTGTGCCTGACTCTGCCTCCACATGTTGCCGATTGGGTGTTAGTAGTTAAGGTACCATCTGCAGTCAAGTATTGTCTATTAGGCTGTTTCCCCTAACTTAGTCACCCCTCCTGATTGATTGATTGATGGGGGCTAGTCCATCTGCAAACATTAGGTTCCTTCTAGCCATGGCTCATAGAAAGTGCTGTTTTGGCTACATGTATTTATGAACCATTGTCACTATGTGGACTCAGTTCAGTACTTACATGAGACTTATCACACAGAAGGCAGGAATAAGGCTCCCAAAGAGAGAAGTTTGGTTATGCTCAGCTAGACTATTCACAGCAGTGAGATATCAACCAGGCTCGCCCAATGTGTGGCTTTGTCTCTTAGCACCCATATTATGCCATTTTCCATTTCGTCTTGTTTCTACTTCCTCTGGCTTGCAGCAGCTTTACTGGGTAACTCTTTCACAACAACACCCTCTACAAGAGTCGCTTGTGTGTATGTGGGGAAGGGAATATAGAGACACAGAGTCATGTCATCTTAGAGTAAATAGTTTGTATGTTAATTTTTCTTAAAACGAGAATGGCTCATTAAACTTCGTATTCCTTCCTTAAATGGCAGAGATAGGAAAGAGTGCCCACAGAAGCTTTTGGAGGATAAGAATAAAGAGATAGCAAACAGAGTGGCCAAATTTGGATAGCTGGCAATAAAACTAAGGGATAACTGACTAAATAGTAAGGATAGAATAGGAAGTACTAGAGACATGGTATAGGATATAAAGCTGATTTAAGTCTACATAGCTTATAGGATGAATAACCTTCCTATTGTTACATCATTTCATTGAGCATTTTAATGTATATGTTCATGGTTTTAATGGCTAGTAACTATAATAAACTTTTACAGATAGATAGGGTAACTCTTTCAGATCACTTGCTGTAAGAGTTTAAACTGGAATTGAATTACTGTATTCAAGCAAACCCTGTTTTTAAGCTATAGTATCATTATAGCAAAGACTTCCCATATGACTACTAGAAATTCTGCCTAAACCCAATGGGCCTACTCTTTCTGAACCAGGGGCCCTCCAAATGTTTTGCCTAGAACGCCCATTGTTGGGAACAATGGGTGTTGTAGTCACAAAACATCCAACAGACCCTGGTTGGAGAAGGCTGTATCAAATGCTGAAGCAGCATCCCCTTGCCCCTAAGACAATAAGTCTTGGTGTTACTGTGTCAAGGATAAATTATAGGCCTGACCAGAATAAAGTGCTGTAATGAGCAACCATAACTGTCAGGTGTGTTGAGAATGAGTCAGGGTGACTCAGCAAGGATGATGCAACCTAGAGCTGATGTAATCTGTATTGTGATTGGTTGTATGAATGTATATATGTAGACCTGTACAGTCAGTATTATCTTCACCTGGTTGGACAACACATATGCCTGCCATGCTGCTGTAGACTGCTGTAAATACACTATGCTGCACGAAATGCTGCCGGACTGCGTGTGATTTATTGCTGGACTGCCTGAGCCGCCTTACACTCTGCTAATTCCATGATTTCCGCGAGAAAAACCCGACATACTGTCTGGATTCAGTTATTAGTAGCAGAAAAAAGATTACAATATACTCCCATAGGGGGTCTTAAAAAGCAGATGGAGTTGGGTGCCATCAGCACATTGGTGGTACCAGACAACCAAATTCTGCACAGCTTTTTTCAGGTTTTTCATGCATATGTGAATTAGTATGAGGAATCATGGAACCTTGAGACACTCCATAGGCTAACAGTCAAGGTATTGAACAGGAAGCCCCCAACACCACTAACTTTCACAAAGTGACAGCAGTGCAAGGGAAAATCCCAAAAGCTGCCTCCTTTTGTCATCAGTTAACCACTTCTCACAAAGCAATAGTCATGGCTGCTTTTCAACAAGTGTGAATGGTAGTGAGCAGAAGAGGGTATCCTGTAGAGACCATCTGGATGTGTTGTCAACATCCAGGCTGCCTTTTGCTATTTAAAGCTTAGCATTCTTTTTCCTGCTGGCAATGTGCACATTATGGAGCAGCACTGGGCCATATCCTAACTATTTGAATTGTAGGTACAGAAGCACAATACCGCACATTAATAAACCAGAGGGGTTTTTTTTGATGCATTGAATTTCTTGGTTTTTAAAAAAAGGTTTTAAAAAAAGGCAGTGACAGATTTTACTTTCTTGGGCTCCATGATCACTGCAGATGGAGACAGCAGCCCCGAAATTAAAAGACGCCTGCTTCTTGGGAGGAAAGCAATGACAAACCTATCAATTCTAAAGGAAATCAACCCCGAGTGCTCATTGGAAGAACAGATCCTGAAGCTGAGGCTCCAGTACTTTGGCCATCTCATGAGAAGACTCCTTGGAAAAGACTTTGATGTTGGGAAAGTGTCAAGGCAAGAGGAGAAGGGGACGACCGAGGATGAGATGGTTGGACAGTTTCACCAAAGTGACCAACATGAAGTTGACCCAACTCCGGGAGGTGGTGGAAGATAGGAGGGCCTGGCGTGCTCTGGTCCATGGGGTCACGAAGAGTCGGACACGACTAAACAACTGAACACACACACAAAAATGGATGTTTAAATATATATATGCTACATACAAATTCAGCCAGAAATTTCTCATATAGAATTACCCAGTGATAAGGGATTCCAGAAGAAGAGCATATGATCTGTATTATAGTTACTGGAAGAGCAACAGCTAATACAAGACGGGTTGACATCTCACATCAGTTAGTCTGCAAGATCTGAGCAAAACTTAATGGAAAAGGCAATATTGCTAGGAAGGGTGGTGGGCAGCATGTGAGATATTGTTGGTTTGCAAGATCTGTGCAAAACCCTTAACAATAGGACATTTTGGAAGTCAGTAACTCATATAGAGCAGGGAAAGTGGGAGGAAGGGGATTTCTACCTCACTTCTGTCCCCCCAACCTTCACCCCAATGTTCTCCCATCATACTGCAGCTGTTGTTGGCTGCTGTTTCCTTACTTGCAAGAAAACAAGGTAAATTTATTCATGGGTAATCCAGGTTAACTACCAGGTTAACTATGCTCCAACTACCGTACAATTGCACTCATTTCACACGCTAGCAAGGTTATGCTCAAAATCCTCCAAGGTAGGATACACCAGTATGTGGACCAAGAACTCCCAGAAGTGCAAGCTGGATTTCGAAGGGGCAGAGGAACTAGAGACCAAATTGCTAACATGCGCTGGATTATGGAGAAAGCCAGAGAGTTCCAGAAAAACATCTACTTCTGCTTCATTGACTATGAAAAAGCCTTTGACTGTGTCGACCTCAACACACTATGGCAAGTCCTTAAAGAAATGGGAGTGCGTGACCACCTTATCTATCTTCTGAGAAACCTATACGTGGGACAGGAAGCAACAGTTACAACTGGATACAGAAACACTGATTGGTTCTAAATTGGGAAAGGAGTACGACAAGGCTGTATATTGGCCCCCTGCTTATTTAACTTATATGCAGAATACATCATGTGGAAGGCTGGACTGGAGGAATCCCAAGCCAGAATTAAGATTGCCGGAAGAAATATCAACCACCTCAGATATGCAGATGATACCACTCTGATGGCAGAAAGGGAGGAGGAATTAAGGAACTTTGTAATGAGGGCGAAAGAGAGAGCAAAAAATGGACTGAAGCTCAACATCAAAAAAACTAAGATCATGGCCACTGGTCCCATCACCTCCTGGCAAATAGAAGGGGAAGATATGGAGGTAGTGACAGATTTTGCTTTCTTGGGCTCCATGATCACTGCAGATGGTGACAGCAGCCACAAAATTAAAGGATGCCTGCTTCTTGGGAGGAAAGCAATGACAAACCTCGACAGCATCTTAAAAAGCAGAGACATCACCTTGCCGGCAAAAGTCCGAAGAGTCAAAGCTATGGTTTTTCCTGTGGTGATGTACGGAAGTGAGAGCTGGGCCATAAGGAAGGCTGACCGCCGAAGAATTGATGCTTTTGAATTGTGGTGCTGAAGGAGACTCTTGAGAGTCCCCTGGACTGCAAGGAGAACAACCCTATCCATTCTAAAGGAAGTCAAGCCTGAGTGCTCACTGGAAGGACAGATCTTATGAGAAGAGAAGACTCCCTGGAAAATCCCCTGATGTTAGGAAAGTGTGAGGGCAAGAGGAGAAGGGGATGACAGAGATGGTTGGACAGTGTCATCGAAGCGACCAACATGAATTTGGCCCAGTTCCGGGAGGCAGTGGAAGACAGGAGGCCTGGCGTGCTCTGATCCATGGGGTCACGAAGAGTCGGACACGACTAAACGACTAAACAACAACAACAATCCAGGTTAAAACTCGCTTTGAGATCATCCCGTCACAAAGCAAAAAAAACAGTATTTTCACAGCCTAAATGAGCTACAACTGGTTACTTTATTTTTTAAAATACTCCCAAGTAAACCAGGTAAATGTACTCATGAGTAAACCAGCTAAACATACTAATGAGTACACCAGGTAAACTTACTTATGAGTACACCAGGTAAAACTTGCTTTGAGATCATCCCCAGTAACAAAGCAAAAACCTAGTAATTTCACAGCTGTTGAATATTATCTATTTTTAATATACAGTGTTTTTAAATATTTTCACAGGGTGGAGTTAAAAAGACTTGGCCAATATGCTTTCTTTCATATTGAATGCTAAGGTTAAACATGACAGACTTCTGCCCTACCTAGTTGCCTGACTGACTCTAGACACATTCTAAGTGGTCCAAATTCTATGCTGTGTAAATAGTTGTCCTTTAGAATGTTCAAAGTTATAAAAATGCCAGCAATTTCAGAGCTTTTCAGGCTTCAAAAGCAGAAACTGAAAAGTGTGATTTAGAGCAGAGGTCCCCAAGCCCTGGTCTGCGGCCTGGTGCCAGTCTGTGGTCTGAGCTGGACCCGGCCCCAGAGACAGACCTCCCCACCCCACTCCACACACACTCCCAACTGCACAGCCCGCTTGCGCCTGCACGAGTGGTGCCTGCCCGCATGAGCACTGTGCCACCCTTTGCACAGGCGCACAAGCACCACTGCTCCTTTGCACATGAGCACAAGCACGTGAATGAGAGAGTGCATGCTCCTTCGTACATGTGCACAAGCGCAGGAGGGTGCCCCGCCTTCCCCAGCCAGTCTGTGGGGCTAAAAAGCTTGGGGACCACTGATTTAGAGCCATGAATGGCTCAATTATTGCGACTGGGAAAAAAGTTTATCTTAGCAACGTATTTCATCTGTTCTTAATCAGCTGGTACAGTGTTATTTTTTTAAAAAAATCACAATTCAAAAATCCTTTGCCCAAATGTCCCCAAACTTGGCACAGAGCGAGAGCGGACTTTCTGCTACATCCATGTCAAATTTGGTGCTGATCTGAGGTCTAGTTTCATAATTATGGTTTTTTGTTTGTTTGTTTGTTTGTTTGTTTGAGACATCCCTAGAAATAGAAAGGCCTGGGGAAATAACAGAAAAACTAGGGGAAAACAGTTTTTTTTCCAAAGCCATTTTTTGGTTTTGTCTAGAAAAATCGAAAAAATATAGTGTGGAATATGTTCTTTTACAGTGGTAAATAATATGTCTACGACATGATATTCAAAATGTATAACATGAAGATCTTAATGACAGACTTCTGAGACTTTATTCAACATTAATTTTTCCAGTTCTTTTGAAAAAAACAACAAAAAAGGCTTTTAACAATGGGGGAGGGGACAGTTTTTCAATTTCTTTTCCCCAGGCCTTCCAAACTCTAGGCATCCACATTTTTTCATTTGTCTTATGGAATCCTGTATGATGCTTTACCTGTAAACACAGCAGATCACTGTTCCCCAATCAGATTAAGAGTACAGTATCACAGCCAGGGAGATTTCATTAGCTATTTTAAAATCCCTGGCAGTTTCAGCTTCAGTAAAACAGGAGAAGGAAATGGTGGCATCACCAAATATTTAGTTGTGTCCCAATCACCTTTTGTCACTGGAGGGAGTAAAATAAATCTCAAATAACCCAAGGGCTGCCCTGCACAGCTGGTGTTACAAAATCATGCTGAATTGAAAGCCAGTGGAAGTATCTTCTACTGAAGATACTGAATGCATTTACAGACCAGATATTCTAGGAATATATTCCCCAACAACAAAAGAGCCAGTAATTACATTTAATGATGACATCTTCATTTGTGTGCTTGCAGAAATCCCTTTTTCCTAGTACTGTGAAGCTTCCTTAACAGAAAACAATCAGCATTGTATGAAAGAATGAAATCCATACATTGTGGAAAAGGTGAATCAGTACATGTAGGAAAATTAATCCCAGAAAAAAATGCCTTCCATGAACTCTTCCTTAGTTAAAAATCACCTTTCTTCTCACACCAGCTTCAAAATTCATCAAATACATCTCGAACCAAGCAACAAAACCCTGCCCATATGAATTGCAATAAATAAATCTTATTTATACAGAACAATTTGCATCAAGGATGCAAGGTATCTTCTCTACCTCCACTATGCTCCACCATGAGTTTGGCATTCTCTCATCTAATGGGTTCACTGTCTTTTCCTCTTAGCTCCATTTATCTATCTTTCTGAGAAAGGTCATAAGGTACAGGGATGTATATATACATTTCACATAATTCAGAAAGAAGTTTGGCCAAATGTGAGGCCTACATATCGTCCTCTGGTGTCATCATTGGAAACGTTTCTCAGTGGTCCATTTTCCAAAAGCAGGAAAGATGTAAGCAAGCTAACAATCCAAGGTAGGTTCTTCCATGAGGTTAAGTTGGATCCTGCAGTAGAAGGCAGGTCAAATGGGTCAGCACAAGCAATGCCGCTCTATTTATCAAGACAGCATTGATCCAGTTTCTGCTGTATCAGCACCAGTTTCCTTGTAGCTTTCAGTTAGCTAGGAGGTCCGGGGGGTACTCGCCATAGCAATACTTGGCGACTGGGTTGCGGTAGGTATTTTCATGTTGCACACTCTGGAAGAGGACAGAAAGCTTATTAGCAAAAATGAATCACACAGATTATCAGAGAATCTATGGGGAAGGACTATTCACATGCTTTGCAACACAGAAGGTCTGCAATCTCCATTTAAGGATCAGGTAGCAGTTGATGGAACATACCCTCCTCTGCCTGAAAACCTGGAGAGAAGTTGGCAATCAAAGAAATTCCCTTGGTTCATTCTCCTCTCACCAGCTAAGGGGAGGTGCAATAGAACAGATGGGAAAATTATGCAAGTCTCAAGGCAGCGACAAGCAGCTTGTATTTATTTATTTAAAATATTTTTATCCCACCTTTCTTCCAAAAGGACCCAAGGCGGCACAGGCATTTTCATTTGGACTCTAAATCCTAGAATTCTCAAATTCTTCCATCTTCCAGACACCTAAATCGTGCTCGTATAGAAGAAGGCTGAGCTGGTAGACCTCATGGCCCAGGAGAGGCTAAGCTTGGGTCTAATTTGCTGTAAGTAAATAAAAGAAGTGGTTGTTGTGGGTTTTCGGGCTCTTTGGCCGTGTTCTGAAGGTTGTTCTTCCTAACGTTTCACCATCTTCAGGCCACAGAGATACTGGCTACAGAGACTTAGGAAGAACAACCTTCAGAACACGGCCAAGAGCCCAAAAAAACACAACAACCATTAGATCCCAGCCATGAAAGCCTTCGTGAATATATTAAATTAAAGAAGCTTCCCTTTGTGGTTGCTGGAAACATGTTGGGCCACGAAGCCTACCAGCCCAGCCTTTGTCCCACATGTACCCAATATATGTGTCTGTCGGGAAGACAGTCCCAGAATGGACAATGATAGAATTTAGAATCCAAACAAAAATGAATCCATATGCCTAGTTGTGGCCCTCCAGATGTTGCTAAACTACAATGTCTATCAGCTCTATCCATTACAGAGACTGAGAGATGATAGGAGTTTGAGTCCAACAACATCTGGAAGACCATACGTAAACTGTACAGTTTTCTACAACAGGTATCTCTTTCACTCTCCTGCAGTACTGATAGTTATATGATCTGAAATGTGGATGGAATAAGGTGGACTTAAACTGAGACTCATACAGATGAAAAACAGACTGAACTATTTCTAAGCACAATACAGTGGTGCCCCGCATAGCGATGATAATCCGTGCTGAAAAAATCATCGCTATCCGGATTCGTCGCTATGTGGGGCAAAAAGCCCATAGGAACGCATTAAAACACATTTAATGCGTTCCTATGGGGGCAAAACTCATCTTTAAGCGAAAATCCTCCATGCGGCCGCCATTTTCGCTGCCCGGTAAGCCAGAAAAGGGCGCGAAAATGCTGCAGGCAGCCATTTTTTCTGGCAGCCATTTTGGAACTGCCGATCAGCTGTTTAAAAAACATCGTTATGCGATAATTGGTAAGCGAAATGCTTACCGATCATCACAAAGCAATGTTTTGCCATATAAAACATCGCAATGCGATCGCTTTTGCGATCGCAAAAAAGCCATTGCTATGCGGGTTCGTCGTTAAACTAATCGCTCGTTATGCGGGACACCACTGTATCTATCCCAAATGTCATTGTTTGTGGCTGTTAGGAAGCTCACCGCATCTTACCTGTTGATGCTTCTTTACTATCTGCATAAGAGCAAAGGTAGAAAGACAGATATGAATATGTCTCACTATCAAATGAATAACTCCTTAGCTTGTATGCTCTGGCAGCCTCCCAAATACCTGTCTTTATACACAAACCTGGTTCTTGGTGGCACTCAGCAGATCTTTCCAAATTTCTCAGATATGCAACTCAAATACTGAAGACCACAGGAATGTTCTTTAAATTATAAATGGGAAGGTCAACTCTCCAGGATGGCCCAGGAACTTGTCACCCACTGGGTCCATATCCTGCTGCCACACTACCATATTTATCAGTGGGATGTGGCAAAGGAACCACAGTTCCTTTTGAAATCAAGTGTGCATGCTGGAAAATTCAGCCGCAGCTATAAAAACAATAGAGGCTGCATGTGGTTACATATTATATGTATCTTTCAAGACACAAACTTGTGACATTTTATTTTTGTGGAGACTGACCAAAGGTTTTCAAGACAGTCCTCGTGGCACAAGTGGTTAAACTGCAGTACTGCAGTCAAGACTCTGCTCATAAGCGGAGTTCAATCCTGAGCTCAGGTAATCATCTCAAAGTAGACTCAACCTTCCATCCTTCCAAGGTTGGTGAAGTGCCTTCTCAGCTTGCTAGAGGTGGGGACTATGTGTAGCATGCATAACTAAGTTGCAAACCATCCAGAGAGAGCTTTAAATAGGGGCCAATAAATAAGCAGCACACTTTGCTTTTGCAAGAACACTGACAACTTTTACATTGATCAAACTAGCACTGATGTTTTCTTGATTTTCTTGCACTTTATTTCAGGCCTTTTCCTAGTTTTAGTTTGTTCTATACATTGTTTTATTTTGATTTAAATAAATTGGTTATTCCTTTTGAATCTTTATTCTTGTATTCACGGTAAACATTACATGTTCTGTCCTAGCTAATCTACCATGATGGTAGCTAATCTACCTAGCTAATCTAACCACAGAGAACCCCACCTCACCAAGCTATCTCCTCTTACCTGTGATGACGTCCTGCATTTTGCCAGACACAACTCAAAGTGATCTTCCACAGCCATAAAAAGGTTTTGGAAGGCCACTGCCGCTCGGTTCAGAAAATCTTCCAAGAGTTGTTGCTGAAAAAAGGATGAGGGGGGGGACATGAGTTTTCAGATATAGGAAATATATAATGGGGAGAAATTGCTAACACATATGGTCTTCAAATATTTTGAGTCATTAGAGTTCTGGATTAGAGATGGAAGTATTCGTATACAAATATCCCCCCATAGGTGCAGATAACGAGGGTCTGGCCCCCTGGGGCCAGACTGACCACTCATCATTCTGCCGCTGTCATGGGCCCTGCACTCCCTTCCTATCGTGCCGGAGCATGCAGTAGATTAGCCACTCTTTAACCTCGCAGAGAGGCCCGTCATCCCACCTCCTCCCAGGAGTGGCTAATCCATCGTGAGCTCCAGAGTGATAAGAAGAGAGTGTTGAGCCCGCAACAGCGGCGGAATGGTGAGTGGTTGGTCTGGCCCTAGGGGCTGGCCCTTCATTATTTGCAATTTCTATTCTGGATCAAAAGCAAGTATACAATTCAATTGCAAGTCTGCTGGTGGCATAAACTAGGAAAAAATGAAATCTTTGAAGAACACAATCAATATAAAAATATTACAGGGCGTAAAAATTACACCACCCATGAAGATTACTGCTTTTTATTTGGCATAAGTTTTTGTAGCTCTGGCAAATCAGACAAACAAGATCTCAAATAGGCTTTCAGCTACCATAAAGTTCTTTGGTGTTTTTGCTGCAATAGACTAACACAGCTCTATGCCATAAAAACATGCTGTTATAATGGTAAACCAGGCTAGCAATAAATAAATTTAACGAGGAAAAAATGTATATGGGAATTCTCATGGTGCATGGGGATGATGGGACCTGTACTTAAGTGGAATATCAGACATGGGCTCAAAGCAGAGCCAAAGATGACTGAGAAAGTACAATGCTATGTGTGTGATACAAAACTTGTCAGCATTAGTGGTAATTGTAGTGATATGTTGTGTGAACATTACAGAGAAAGCTCACATATCTTATCAAGCCGGATGGGCATCCCTGGTCTATCAGACATAATTCCCTAGAATAAGAGTTGCCCGAGGCTACCTTACCCCTTACAGAAGGCCAACATCCAACAGGCTAACAATGTTTTTTGTACTCTTAAGCCAGTCTCTCTTCCAGAAACCACTGGCAATTTGGAGCAGGAAGTGTGAGCTAACAAGAATTGATACCGGCCCTCCCCAGCAGGAATAGCCTAGTCTCTCAGGAGAAGCTAGTGGGCTCCTTTATCAGCAAGCCTGGAAATGATGTAATTATACAGCATAACACAAGGATGGTCCAGCTAAAAGAATTAACAGATTTTGATTTCTAAAAGCGAAAAAAAAAAAACAAAACCCCAAATAAATTAAACTGATCAGTAATATCAGGGATATATAATCCACATTTCTGGCCAATTTCCACATTCATTAGACAGGAGAAATGGTCCCTTCCTGAGACAGGTTGGGAGGAGGAAAAATAACATTGCTAGGATAGACTCCCTGGAACAGCCCCTGATGTTGGGAAAGTGTGAAGGCAAGAGGAGAAGGGGATGACAGAGGATGAGATGGATGGACAGGGTCATTGAAGCGACCAACATGAATTTGACCCAACTCCTGGAGGCAGTGGAGGACAGGAGGGCCTGCCGTGCTCTGGTCCATGGTGTCACGAAGAGTCAGACATGGCTTAATGACTAAACAACAAAGGACAGAACCACCACTCACACATTATGAAAGTATTTGTACCAAGAATGACATTAGAAAATATTACCAACTGTATAATCAGGCATGCCTTTTTAAAGTCAAATCAAAATATTTTAAGATTAATTTATGTAAAAGATCAATTAATGTGATGTTGCCCATCACAGCATACAGAAGATAGAATGCTTGGCTGGCATCCTTGAACAGGAAAATTTCTGTTAGGAATTGAGAACGATATTGTATTTGCAGACAGCACTTGCTCAACACTGACACCAAGGTCTCCTTACTTTATTAGGCTGCAGGCAGCAAGAAACACAGGCCTCATACACACTGCAGCATCCACTGGGCAAGCAAGTGTCACAGCTGAACTGCTTTGCACTGGGTGCTTCAATGTTGCAACAACCATTTGTAAGCACATCCTTTCTTTCACAGATGTAACCTAAAACAAAAGACCAAGAGTGACTTGACAGCAGACAGAAAAATCTTGTTTTTCAAGCACCAAAATTAGCAGGTTGTTCAGTACTGTACTGGGACTTTTTCAGTGGAGACAATATTGTGTCATTCATTGCCCCCTTAGCCTTTCTTTTCCTCTCTCTGAATACAGCTAGAATCTTTATTTTTCACCAAAAAAATCTGATGTGTATAAAGATATCCAAAATTTCAAACACAAGGAAATAATTCAGCATTGCCTTACAATATAATTTCCCTTCCAGGAGGGACCCTATTGTCTCTCCACAACTTACAAGTCGGCCTCTTCCATGGTAACCTGCTCTCTGCTTAGGGTGTAACTACCATTTCACTTTTTGTAACTGTTTTGTTTTTTTCTTCTCCCTTTAAAATACATAAAATCCTTTCCCGCTGTTGATTGGATTTTGGAGTATAGAGGAAGTCTGAGTACTGAAGCCTGGGATTTGAGCTTGCTATATTGCCAATGAGCTAGTAGATAGTAAATAGGTATGGTGGCACTGCTACTTTCTGAGTTAGATGTCCTGGAAGCACAGGCAGACTAGGAAAAGCTGGCAACTGGGAGGGAAAAAGTAGTTACCATTTAAACTCAACAGAATCTCACCCTTACTACTCACTCAGATGCTGCCCCCATCTTAAGACACAGAACAGTTGAATAGCTGAAAGGCTATGAGGAGGAACTGAACATCAGAACCATGACAAGTAGTCAAGATGGTCTACATAGGATCCCCTCTTATGCTCACTACCATTCACAAACAGACAGCAACAGGCTGGAGGGAGACTGATCTAACAATTCTATCACACTGGCCTTGGATGAGGGTCCTTACCCAATTCATCTGTAATCAACAGTTTCCCTTGAACGGAGTTTCGACATTGGTTACTTGACTGGCTGTTGTTTCCTAGGCTAAACTGTACTTTCCATGCAATTGGATGATCTTCATCTTGCATTTGGGGGACATTCCAACCTCGGAGCACTCTTTCTTCCTGAAAGCAAAGAGAAATCATGTGACATGAACAGAAACTCTGCTCATCTGACCACAGTGCAATAGAAAGAGGGGCGGGGAAAGGAATTCAAAAGGACAGCTCTCATGTTATATTTAGCAAGTGAATTCCAGTCAGTTATGCCCCTACATTCAGCTCTGAACTTTAAAAATGCCAACACATGTAGCAATTAACCAGAAATGTGAAACATTACTTTTTTAATACTAGAACTCTTAGTATCCCACAACCAGCATGGACACTCCCATCTCTCCAAGAGATACACAGATCTTGCTTACTGCTGCATGTGTGTGCTAGGACTACAATGAATCTCATGAGCAGATTAATACAGCTTCACAAATTGCATTTCCAACCCAGCTGTATACCTTCTCCAAACTGGCATCTCTAGGTGTATATCCTCCAAGTGTATTGGAGTGCAATTCCCATCATCCTCTGTCACCAGACACTAATTTGAGGAAGAATGTTCCACACAGGTTCCTGTTATGGCATATGCTTTAAAAGATTAGTTCTCTTTTTTAGATTCTGCCTTTGAAAGAGCTACAGCAGGGATCAATGAAATGCAGCTTTACCAACGTTGGACCACAAACAGCTCTAGCCAACATAGCCAATAGTGAGGAAAGTATGGCGCCCCAGTCCAACAACATCCGGAGGACCACACACTACTCATCCCTGACCTACACTGTGGTAATAAATTATAGGGTTATTGTGTCTCTGGGTAAATGTGAACTGCTATTGAACTATGTGAAGCCTTATTTTCTACGTTATATATTACATGCATTTATGACCCACCTTATGGGATAATACAGTATTCAGCATGCTCATTAGAGAGAAGCCATAACTCAGTGTGACAGCATTACAGATGGTTCCAGATTCAATCTTTCCCCCGAAAGGATCAGAGAGCAGAATGACTTTTTCTGGCTCAGAAGCCTGGAGATTCAATGCTGGTAGGATAGACCAACCTTTATCAACATGGCCACTGGCTATGCTGCCTAGGAATTATTGGGATTATGGTCCAAAACAACTAGAAGGCACCAAACTGGTGGAAGCTAGAAAAAACAACTATTGGCCTGACCAAGAAACAGTCTGGAATAAGACATATTGCTTTGTTTGTAAGCTTATTACATTTATATCTTGTCTTTTCTTCTCACCACTTCTCCCTCATAACAAGCTTGTGAAATACTTCAACCTCAGAAAAAGTGACTCATCTAAGATCACACAGTGTTGCATTGCCAAGCAAAGATCTCAACCTGAATGCCCCAATTCAATGATCTAACCCTAATACCATAGGGGCCATGCTCCGAGTGAGCCTTATGTGAAAGCACAGTGCCTCCAGATCCTGCTGGATTGAAAGGAATTGCTGTCCAACAATGTCTGGAGGACCACAATGTCTGCCACTGCTATTTAAACATAATAGAAAAAAACATAATCATAAAATATCAGCTAGGTTAGTATCCTACCCAAGAATATAGGTCATTTCTAAAACAAGTGAAGCCAAGTTAAGTCTACAGCCATGGCAGAGTGCCTTCCTTTTCAAAAGAGGACTTTCAGCCAAAACTTTCATGCTTGGGATTGGAGAGGTGAAAGGGAAGAGATATACTGTAGTTCAAATTATTAAGTTCAACTACCTTCTTAAATAAAGGGACATGGTGGTGCTGTGGGCTAAACCACAGAAGCCTGTGCTGCAGGGTCAAAAGACCAAGCAGTCGTAAGATCAAATCCACATGGCGGAGTGAGTGCCCGTCACTTGTCCCAGCTCCCGCCAACCTAGCAGTTTGAAAGCTTGCAAATGCGAGTAGATTAATAGGGACCACCTCGGTGGGAAGGTAACTGCGCTCCGTGTCTAAGTCCCACTGGCCACGTGACCACGGAAGATTGTCTTCAGACAAAATGCTGGCTCTGTGGCTTGGAAATGGGGATGAGCACCGCCCCCTAGTGTCGAACATGACTGGACAAAAATTGTCAAGGGGAACCTTTACCTTTACCTTCTTAAATGAATTGGATCAACAGCTAAAGAAACAGCCAAGAAGAAAATGAGTGGAGCAGCTACTGTATAATACAGGAATATGGTACATGGTGTTGCAAATTATAACTCCCATCTGTTTGATATGGCTAATGATCAATATGGTAGTCCAAAACATCTGGAGGATTCTAGGATGACTTGTAAGTCTACTAAGTATTAAAGTATTAATGAACTGCAAAATACAGTACTGTAACTGCATTCAAATCTACATTCAGTAATGAAACAGTTGTGGTCTCTTTGGGACAGTCACCATGTCTTAGCCTAACTTGCTTCCCAAGACTGCTGTGAAGATGAAAAGGCAAAGAAAAAAAGATTAAGCATCTTGGACTTGACTCTTTCAAGTTCAAATTGCCACTGAGGTTCTTCTATGGGTTAATTACAGTGGGGTCTTGACTTGAGAACTTAATCCGTATTGGAAGGCGGTTCTCAAGTCAAAAAGTCTGTAAGTCAAGTCTCCATTGACCTACAGTGCATTGAAAACCGATTAATCCAGTAACAGACCATTTTTGTTCCATTTTGGTTTTTTTCTGGTCTGTAAGTCAAATCTCAGTCTGCAAGTCAAACCTAAATTTTGCGGCCAGAGAAGTCTGTAACTCAAAAAGTCTGTAAGTCAAGCCATCTGTAAGTCAAGGGTCCACTGTATTCAAATATAACATTTAATGATTACAAGACTGTTGTGAGGATAAATGCGGGAGGAGCAGAACCATATGCACTACCATTTAAACAGATTTAAATATAAATAATTTAAAAAACTGGTAGGCTGCTATAAGATAGCAAAAAGAGTAACACACTTTATTATAGTCAAATAAACGGCAATGTGAAAATATATAATGCAGCGTGCCTCTGAGTAGCAAAAGCAACAATATGGCGAGGCCCCTTTATTAAGAAGCATCAATAATTCGTCACCACCACCCAAGATAACAAAGAGGACACCGGCCGAGAGGGGATCCCAGGCTCTCACCTGCTTGAAGGTGCTGCTGAGAAAGCAGACCAGGGAGAGGCCGAAGACCACCGCCAGCACCCAGCGTTTGCGCAGCAGCCTCCGCCACACCAGGGCCAGGAGCTGCATGGGCGGAGCGGGTCCCAATCGCGGTCACGCGGCGGCGGAGAAGCAACGACCTCGACGGCGAGGAGGCCCGAAAGGCTGCCCGGGAGTGGGGGGTGGGGTGGAGAGTCGGGCCCCGGCGCGGCCTTGCTCGCTGGTCTGGGGGAAGCGAGGGGGAAGGACGACCCCCCCTCCCCACACACCATATCCCAGGACAGGCCTTGAGGAAGGAGGAGTGGGGCGAGGAGGGACAGGCCCAGGCAGGCAGGAGTGCGTCAGGTGGAGCCCCCCGTAGGAAACGGCATCTTGCACCGCGCCTCCTGTTCTCCGAGACGGGGCTGGGGGGGGCAGAAGGGCTAACGCGGCAAATGCCGCCTCCGCCGCCGCCCTCCCCGCTCTAATTAATGCGGGGGGGGGTCCGCGTTAAAGCGAAAGGGGCAAGAGAGAGAGAGAGAGAGAGAGAGACGCCTTCCCTTCCCGCTTCGGCGAGACCCGCTTCCGCCAATCAGAGGAAACGGACGGTGACTCCTCCTCAGCGGCAAGGGGGCGGGGCGCCAACCCGGAAGTCACGTGGGCGCCGGTCCGGAAGAGGAGGGACGCCGGCTGCTCGCTGAGGGCCCCGGGGCAGTCGGTGTGGCCGGCGGGAGCGTCTCTTGCCGCTCGTTCGGGTCTGTGGCTGTTTTTATTACCTCACTGGGCATGCAGAGCGAATTTCTGTTCTTTCCTCAATAATAATAATAATAATAGGAGTAAAAAAAGTGGAGGAGGGATTGGTTTATGAATATGTTTAAAAGCTGTGTCATTAGTGGCTGAAGTCTAATCTGGTCTACTTACAGTACTAAGAGTAAGTAGTAACTAGAGTAGGCCCATTGAGTCGGTGGGGATCTGGTGAGTCTTCTAAATTCCTCAGATTATTCACTGGGCCTTCTCTGGTTTTCAACTTACTGTTGGATTTCAGCCAGTATCAGTTTTGACCCCCCAGAAGAAATGTTTTATACAGTACAGTAGTCTGAGATTAAGGGCCTAGTTCTCACCGAAGTTGTCAACCTATGTTTTGGCTGTGTCCCTTTAAACAGCGGGCGAAGAGCCTTGTCAAATGCAGTGTTTCTGCATACCATATACTCTAGATTGATAGCTGTTCCTAGCTGTAGAAGAACAACGTCTTCAGGCTAAGCTGTTCCATGACATGCCAGTTTTCTTTATTGATGGAATACATATGTATTTGTTTTGTCTAACCTTTCCCTTCAGGCAGACCATCCAAAACCATTATTAACTTTTATGTAACTTAATTGTTGTAAAAGCTTTTGAATCGTTGCTAGAAAATATTTTTAATACTTTAAAAAATAGTGATAGAAATTCAGTTATCTGCTCCTTCCTTCTCAATCTCTACATCCAAGGCCAAAAGAAGTATCATTGTCCATGAATTGATCTAATCTCTTTGTACAAACATTGGGATTTAAGGTAATCAGACCATAACAAATTCCATGATTGAACTGTGAGGAAATATCCTTTTTTTTTTTTTTTTTTTGTCTGTCTCTCATCTCCCCTTAAGTTTCATTGGCTGAGTCTTGGTTATAGAATTATGGGAGAGATAGAGTGATAGCAAAACCTTTTAGTTTATATTCTCCAAACCTTGAATAACTTTGTTAACATCTCTTTTAGGATGATAAAATCAACAGAAGGACAATTGAAAAGAAAAAATGAAAACCTGAATGTGATTGGCTACAGTTATGCTGAATAAGGTTATTTGCTTTCTAGATTTGCTTTAGTTTGTTTTAAATTCTTCTTTTTAAAAAAACTCCTTGGGCTCGTGAACTTTCTCAGCAGTGGAAGATCTGGAGAACACACAATTCTTTGGTTCTAATGGTCTCCATTGTAGCCCTCCTCTCTATTGCTTTCCACTGTAACTCTCAGTGAGACTTATTGTAACATTGATACTGAAGATCAAAAGTTTTCTTGGAGATCAGTTTCAGCTGGATGCTGCTGTCTTGTGAAGTTGTGAAGGTTTCCTTTCATTGACTTGTGGCATTGTCTTTGGCTGGTCTTCCAAGACAAATTTTGTGTCGTGTGTCCCTGAGTGAATGGCTGCGTGCATACACATTTGATTGCCTGAAATCTGACCACTGGGTCCTGGCGACTGGCAACATTAATGTTCAGTGTGCTGTGTTTTAAAGTGTTAAAGAAGATGCAAAGACGACATAGCAGCATCACTGATGGTCCTCCTCCTGAACGGTAAGTTTCTTTAATGGAATGCAGGTAAGAACTTGCCAGGCCAGCTGTAGTTGTGCCATTTTACACAGTGAGGGAGCTGTCTGTTGCTGTTGTGCTATCAAGTCAGTACTAATGTATAATATATAGGGTTTTCAAGGTAAGCAAGGCATTTAGGGAGTGGTTTAGCTGGCTGGAGAGCTTAGTGAGTTAGATATCTAAGTGCGAAGCTGAGAGTTCAGTTCCTCACTAGGCATCCCATCCTGTGTGGCCTTGAGCAAGCTGCACAGCCCCAGGGTGCTCCCAGATGAAGGGAATGATAAACTACTTCTGAGTATTTTCTACCTAGAAAATCCAAGGACCACCGTAAGTCAGAACTGATTTGATGACACACAATTATTATTTACCAGTTCTGCTCCACCACTGAGTTTTTGTGGTAGAGTGGGGGAACTTCACCTCTTGAATCCTGGTCCATTACTCTAGCTGTCTTTTATGAAATCCAAAAGCAAAAGGGCAGCAAATGGCTAGATGTTTGCTTTATTGTTAGCACACAAAAAAGTGTGTCACCTTTTGAGTGTAACTTTTTTTAACAGAATGACTTATGCTGGGCATTCTGATAAAGTGGGTTGTGTATTTACAAAAGCTCATGGTATGTTAAAGTCTAAAAGCTGACATCATTCTGTTTTCCCTGCCAAGGGGGAAGGTGCTTATGCATTATTATTTTTTTGGCTCACGGAGCAGCATTCTGACAAGGCTGGATGATGTTTACCTCTAGTTCTGAGGCAGCAGAATGCCTTGGCCCTGCATAGGGCCACAGTAGGTGAACAGGAATTTCTCGGAGGAGGGATTGGATCACTACTGCACCCACCCAAAAGCCTGCGTAGTTTCCATTTGAGATATGGAGGAATGAATATTCCTTCCTCTGTGAGCAATGCATTGATGGGAGAGGGGTAGATGACCCCATTCTTCCACCACTAATCTCACTGGTAAAGAACCAGTCCGCCTCCAAAGAAAGTGAATACTCTGCTGTCTTTTAACTGTATATAAGGAAGCAGTCCTTGGACCCCCAACTTAGTCCTTTCAAATGTGTTGAATTGTAAAAACGCCATCACCTGTAGTCAGCATTTTTCTTATGACTGGGCATTATGAAGGTTTTAACAAAATAGAGATCAGTGGTTGGGAAAGATAGAAATGCATGGTTGGGAAAGGCTGAAATTATGAAGTCAGAACCAACATATGGAATTTCTTTTGAAGTGTGTTTTGCCAGCTATATATTTTTGTTTCATATTATTTTAAAATTGAAATCTGCCATCTTGGATGAAGATTGGAATTCTGCTTCATCCTTTGGTTATACTGTATGGATTTTAGCAAAAAGCAAGGTAAAAGTGTCATAAGCCTAAAGTATGTTCATCTTGCTATAAAGCACACAGTTGCCTTGTTTTACTGAGTTGAACCATTGAGGAATATGACCCAGTCTGACTAGCACTGGATCTCCAGTATTTTAATCAAAACTCTTTCTCAGCCCTTCAATTAAAATCTCCCCTGAATATTCTAACATTCCAAATCTATTATATTTATAATTAGAGATGGGCACTTTGGATCCGTATCTCAGAGACATGAATATGAACTGCGGTATCACAGGTGCTGCGGGGCCCCAATTCCCTCCCCCAGAACTGGCTGGCCTGCTCCCTGGGCTCTGTGCAGCACTGCAGTCTTCTTGCAGCACAGCACACTAATCCCAGCAGGAGCCTGGCCAGCCTTCCCCACCCCCTCGTGCAGCCGACCATTTTGGTGTGGAAGCGACACAGGGAATCTCCCTACTCAGCCAATGAGTATTTGGCTGGGATGAGGGGAGGGCTGGGAAGGTTCCTGCTGGGATTAGTGCACCACCACCGAAGGAGGACCACAGCGTCATGTAGAGCCTGGTGAGTGGGTTGGCTGGTTCTGGGGGGAGGGAAGGGCTCACACAGCACCTCTGGTGCCAAGGATTGTATTTGTATCCCCCATATAGAACAAAATTACAGGCTAGTTCAGAGGTGGGTAACTAGTGGCCTGCCAATGTTGGTAGACTGCAGCTCCTTTGATTCCTCATTACTGGCTAAGCTGACTGTGGTTGATGGCAATTGTAGCCCAACAACATCTGGAGGACCACAACTTCCCCTTAACTGACCTAGATCCAACAGCAGTAGTTGCTTTCAGCTTTGCTGCTCATTTGTTTATTTCTCTCTTTCTGCGTTCCAGAAGTCGGAGTCAAACTATCACTTCAGAGACGAGCATGGATGAGAGTGGTGTTTTTGAAGGCCTCAAAACAGAGCCACCCTCTTCTCAGCAGCTTTTCCCAGGATTGGGGGGCATCCAATCAGCCCTGGGGAGCATCCCATCAGGAACCATCACAGCCACACCTTTTCAGTCCAGCTTGGTTCTGGGGTCCACAGCAGGAGGAGGGGAGGTATTTATCCAGATGCCTACCCCACGGGAGGAAGGGACTATCCATACAGAAGGAGGTTCCTATCACCATCGCCAGCAGCCTCATCATTACCATCACAGCCACCAGCGAGGGGCTTCCTTACTACATGTGGCAGGTGGGGATCGCCATGGCCATACCGAGGAGGGCTCTGAGGAACAGCCGGGAACACCAGCCCCTGCCCTTTCCGAGCTGAAAGCTGTAATGTCCTGGTTGCAGAAGGGGCTTCCATTCATCATGATCCTCCTAGCAAAAGTCTGCTTCCAGCATAAGCTCGGTAAGGTTATTAATTTAAGAACATAGGAATAACCTTGATTGACAGAACTAAAATCAGGCTATCCAGAACACTCCTTGCAAGCAGAGGTCAGGTGAATGTCCCAAAGAGACTGCTGAACAAGGTCTGTCAAGGTCTGCGACTAAACATTTTAAGAAGAAACAATAATTTGAGATAGTTATGTGTGTCCATCCCACCTTCTTGTAACAGAGTATCAATTGAAATTAACTTTAATTTTCCAATTGACTAATGTATGTCAATGTCTTTTAGAACCATTTAGTTAGTCAGTGTATACATTTTGTGTAATGATAATTCATGTCACCTAGGAAAAAATTTTGTAAAAAAATGGTGATAAGAGTTTCCTTTGTGCTACATCATTTGAACTAATCAGCATATAGCTGCTGTCAAAAATACGTCCCATCTTTCTGTTGTTGCTTAGAATCATAGAAAAGTGAAGTTGGAAGGTGCCTACAAGGCCATCAAGTCCAACCCCCTGCTCAGTGCAGGAATACAATCAGAGCATATCTGCCAGGTGATTATCTTAAGTTTTTTGCCCCCAGTGTTGGAGCACTCACCAACTCCCGAGGTAACTGGTTCCACTGTCGTACTGCTCTAACAGTTAGGCAGTTTTTCCTGATATTCAACCGAAATCTGGCTTCCTTTAACTTGAGCGCATTGTTGTGTGTCCTGCACTCTGGGATGATCGAGAACGGATCTTGCCCTTCCTCTGTATCACAGCCTTTCAAATATTTGAAAAGAGCTATCATATCACCCTCAGTCTTCTTTTCTCAAGCTAAACATGTCCACTTCTTTAAGCCTTTCCTCATAAGATTTTGTTTCCAGCCCCCGTATAATCCTTGTCAGCCTCCTCTGAACTTGTTCCAGTTTGTTAGAATCCTTCTTGAAGTGTCGTGTCCAGAACTGGATACAATACTCAAGGTGAGGCCAAACTTGTGCTGAACGGAGGGGGACTAGCACCTTGCGGGATTTGGAAACTATACTTCTATTAATGCAGCCTAAAATAGTCTTTGCCTTTTTTGTAGCTACATCACACTGTTGGCTCATATTTAGTTTGTGATCTACGACAATTCTAACAGCTTCCCCGCTTGTAATTTTGTTGACCTAGGTATCCCCCATCTTGTAACTGTGCAGTTGGTTTCTTTTTCCGAGTTGGAGTACTTTGCACTTCTCTCTGTTGAATTTCATTCTGTTGTTTTTGTCCCAGTGCTCCATCCTGTCAAGGTCATTTTGAATTTTCTTTCTGTCTTCTAGGATATTAGCTATTCTGCCCAATCTGGTATTATCTGTAGAGTTGACAAGCATTCCCTGCACACCCTCATCCAAGTCATTAATAAAATAAAATACTGAAGAGTACCTGGCCCAGGACTGAACACTGGAGTACCCCACTAGTTACCTCCTCCCAGTTAGAGACGGACCCATTAATCATCACCCTCTGAGTATGATTTTGTAACCAATTGTGTATTCACCTGACACTTGATCTATCCAGCCCACACCTAGTTAGCTTGCTAATCAGGAGATCATGGGGTACTTTCCCAGAAGCTTTGCTGAAGTCAAGATATACTACGTCTACAGCATTCCCTCTGTCTATCAGGGAGATCAAATTACTGTAGTTTGGCAGGATTTGTTCTTGACAAATCTGTGTTGGTTTCTAGTTATTACTGCATTGTTTTCTAGGTGCTTGCACAATGGCTGCTTTATGATCTGTCCCAGAATTTTGCCTGGGATTGATGTCAGGCTGACTGGCCTGTACCTAGTTCCCAGGTTCCTTTTTTGCCCTTTTGGAAGATAGGGACAACATTGGCCCTCCTCCAATCCTCTGGGACCTCATTTGTTTCCCATGATTTCATTAAAATAATGGATAGCGGTTCTGAGAGTTCTTCCGCCAGTTCCTTCAGTACTCTCAGATGCAGTTTATCCAGCTCGTGAGATTTGAACTCATTCAAGGTGGTAAGGTATTCCTTGAATATTTGTTTATCAATCTCCAGATGCAATCCTGTCCTCCCGCACCCCAACCCCGTGCACTTTCAATTTGTTTGGAAGTTCATAGTCTGCCTTATGGGAAAAGACTAAACTAAAATAGGAATTGAGCACCTTTGCCTTTTCTTTGTTCTCTGTTTGTGTCTTTTGTTTGTCTTTTACTACTCACATATCTGAAGCATGCTTTTTTAATTGCTTTTAGTGTCTCTACCCTGTTTCCCCTAAAGTAAGACCTAACCTGAAAATGAGCCCTAGTATGATTTTTCAGGATGCTCGTAATATAAGCTGTACCCCAAAAATAAGCCCTAGTTAAGTGAAACCCCGCTCTCCACCATTGTGCAGCAACCAGAAGAAAATGACATTGATATATTTGAATAAACATAGATTGTTATACGTGAAAAAAATAAAGCATCCCCTGAAAATAAGCTCTAATGTTTTTTGGAGCAAAAATTAATATAAAACCCTGTCTTATTTTCACAGAAACAGGGTAGCTAACCTCAGCTCTTTCTCAGCTTTTGACCTCCTAATGCCATCCTTGCATTTCCTTGCTACTTGTCTGTATTCTTCCTTGGTGGCTTGGCCTCCTTTCCATTTCCTGTACATGTCTTTTTTGTTTTTTAGGTTCTCCCTAGACTTTTGGTGAAGCCACACTGGCCTTTTTTGGTGCCACCTCCTTTTTCTTCTTGTTGGAATTGTTTGTAGTTGTGCCTTTAGAAGCTCCCACCCTTCTTGGACTCCTTCTTTTCTTAGGATCTCCTGCTATGGGACCTTACTTATCCTTGTTCTGAGATTATTAAAATTGGCTTTTTAAAAATCCAGCAGATCTGTGTGGCTACACTCTGCTTTGTTTTCCTTTGAAATCAAGACTTCTAGAAGTACAAGGCCACTCTCACCTAGAGTTCCCCTTACTGCCACTTTCCCCCACCAAGTCATCTTTGTTGGTCAGAATTATGTCAAGGATAGCAAATCCTCTAGTTTCTTTCTCCACTTTTTGTAGGAGAAAATTATCAGCCACACAAGCCAGGGATTTCTTGGAAGGCCATGCTTGGCAGAATTTGCCTCCTCACATATATTTGGATAATTGAAATCACCCATCACAACTCCATCATGTCTCTTTGAAAACCCTGCAATTTCTTTCAATATTCAAGAGCACGGAACAGGCCCTCTCCTGCGTCCCAGCTAAACACGTGGGATTCCTAACTGTGTCTATTACTTTCTTGTCCTGATCAAGTTTTGTTTTGTTAGCTGTCCACTGTATTGCCTATCTCAAGGCTTTAATTCAGAACACATTAGCTTCTCTGAAATCAAGTGGGAAGAAGAAATAGACTCCTGAATATTTTAAGAACTGGAATATCAGTGGCACAGTACAATTACTGGTTATGTGCCAACCCAGTTCAATACATGGGGAAGGTCCCCAGATCGGGAATAGCTGACNCCCGATCTGGGGACCTTCCTATGTATTGAACTGGAATCCCCATCATCATTAGCCAGTGAGTTAAAAGTTGTAGTCAGACAAATCCAGTGGGTTGGGGAATATGTAGATATGTAGACCGTGAATACTTTCATTTCACAAACATGTACAAATGATACTTAGCACTGAAGATTCTTTGGAACCCTGCTCTGCAAGTATAGGATGTTGCTGTTGACCTCCTAATACTTGACATAAACATCTTACCCCCTCTCTTTTTAGGAATTGCTTTGTGTATAGGCATGGCCAGCACATTTGCATATGCAAACTCCATTCTCCGAGAACAAGTTTCCTTGAAGGTGAGTGAAGAGTAGCAAAGCTAGCTCCAGAGAACAAGCTGCAGAAAATGTCCAGGGTGTAGGTACTCATGTAGCAGAACAGGCTGAGAGAAGTTCCTTTCATAAGATGGGATTGAAAGCAACTGGCATACCTTCCAAATACATAAAGGCATTTTAAAGCCAACAGTATAAGGCCCATCCACAGGGCTTGAAAATTTTTAGAATGTCTCGCCAGTCAGTCAAATATTTCACCATTCAGCACCACTGATTGTAAATATCCTTGCAATTTATTGGGATTGGGAATCACTGATTTATACCCTCAGACTTGGGTTGCTTTATTACCTGTGTGCCTGTGGGGTCATGAAGCTTGTATTTTGAATGCCTTTCTTTTGCATGTCTCCAGCAAAAATAAAACTGAAAGCATAAGCACCCGGCCTCTTAAGGCGCCATGGTTCCCTCCCACCCCAGGATGTGTCCTTGTTCGGTTGAAATTGGGAGCAGGGAATCTCCATATTATCCAACATGGGACTACTCTACATTCTCTTGCAGAACTATATCTCTGTGTACCACTTGAACTCTCTTCTCACGAGAAGAGGGCAGTTTTCCTTTTGCAATGGGAGGGGGGAAGGGAGGACTGTAGGATTAGCAAGAAGGAGACAGACAGAGAGGAAGGAGGGAGGGAGGGAGGGAGCTGTGACTCGTTGAGCAGCAATTTTCACTTGTCACAGATGAGTGGACAAGTGCATTTTTCAAGCCCTGCCCATCCAAGTAGCACTGCTATAGGTGTATGGTTTCCTTACTTCCTTACTAACTTATTAGTATTATGAGCTTCTGCAGAATGAAGTCCAGGTTTCTGCTTTGTGGTGTTTACAGTCTAAAACTGGGTATATGTGGGGAGGAATTAAAGGCAGGAATGAACATTTTCTGTAATTTTAGATTTCATTTTTGGAAAAAAGCAAGTTGTTAGCCCCCATGGCTCCAGAGTTGTATTGAAATCTTATTTATTTGTTTCAGGCATAAGTCACCTTTCTCTTGGTGAGGGGACCCAAGACAGTTCACAATGTTAAAATAAGTCACACAAAAGAATAAATTACAAGGTTGAAAAAAAAATTAAGCATACAAAAATTTAAATTTGATAAATTTAACTATGTAATAATAATTTTAAAACATTAAAAAAAGTAAAACACACTTAGAGGAATAAAAACCCAGCATCCAAGGATTCAATTGTGATTTTTTTAAAAAGCCAGCCTGAAGAGATAGGCCTTTAGTTGAAGAAGCAAGTCTTACAGACCACAAAGTTGAATGCATTGGCCTTTTCTTTCCAGGAAAAGAGGTCAGTACTGGTGGTGTTCTGGATCGTGGCCTTTCTTGGAGGGAATACCCTGTACTTGCTCCACTCCTTTAGTTCTCAACAGTTGTACAACAGGTGGGTACACAACTGGCATTCCTGGGAGAAACAGGCAACTCAAAAGATCAGTAGTGCTCATGGCTGCTATTTTCTAGAGTGAACGTTGAGGTGACCAGTGATAGTGGGGGGACTTGTTCTGCTAGAGAAAAGTCAGTGTAATAGAAGAAGACCAGATGGAGTAATAATGCTACTTGCAGGATTTTTACTCTCAATGTATACATTTCTGCCTTTTACTAGGAGCAAGCATTGGTGCAAATCATATTTCTGCAGCCTTGCAAATAGTCCCTTTTTTCCATAGGTTCTAACCAGTTCATTTTTCTTGCAGTTTTCTGGTGGTTTCCATTTTGTTTCTTTCCATTCTCATCAAACGTGTGTTCTCATTTTAGTTTATTTCTGTTTGTTTATTTTTAGGATTTAATTTTACCCGTTCTATGCATATATTGTGAGTACTTATGTTTCAATTTTTCTTTCTACCCTTGCTTATTAATTTGCTTTGGCATGATTACCTACTAACACTTACAGTGAGCATGGAGGAAGCTCCTACAGTTCGTACATCTGGAACCATATCTAGCACTTATTATTATTTTCATTTATATGCCATTCTACTCTCCAAAGAGATGCAGAATAGTGCACAACACATAAATAGGATGCACAGCAATAGAAGACTTTATATAAAAATTAAAATACCATTACACTTAGCAATGAATATTTTTTATACGAAGTAATGGTTATAAAATATCTAGTAAAGGTTCCATGGTTAGGAATAAGACTAAAAAGTTTAAGGTTTTAGCTTCTAGTATTCTGTTTGCCAAGCCCACCTTGTATTGGACAGTGACACCAAATATAGAGGGATGGGAGGAGTGCATGAGACATGGGCAAGGTTCCCGCTAAGCTGGGCATGTGTGCGTGCAAGTTCGCTTCCCTCTGTGCAGCTCTCTTCTCTGTGTAGTGATGGAACCCAGCGCACGGGGGGGGGGGG